AGGGGATGAAGTACGTGCAACCAAGAAAAATAGACCTACAGTCAGGGAAAGGAGCTCTGGTGGCGTAGTGCCTAAGGCACTTGATTGCTAACTAGAAGGCTGGCAGTTCAAACCCACCAGCCGCTCCTCAGAAGGAAGGTTGGGCAATCTACTTTCATCGCCTCGAAACCCAAGGAGGGGTCACTATGAGTCAACTCCAGGGCAGTGAGTTTGTGGTTTTTTTTTTTTTTGGTTTACAGGCAGGGAAGTTAGCAGCTAGATGCAGGGCTAGAGAAGAGTGTGGGGTGAGAGGGCCAGCAAGGCCCCGGGTGGGGAATTGAAGGCCTTCAGAGAGAAGGGCAGGGACACAGCCAGGGGTTCGGGGTTTTATTAAGGGTTCTAAGGAATTATGGCAGGGTTTGGAGACAGGGAGAAAGGTGATGGATTTCTGCTTTAAAAACATCCCCCTGGAGTACCATTTTGAAACAGTTGTATATGACTCTGGTTTGAACGATTCAGTAAATGAGGGGGAAGTTACAAGTTATCAAAGGGCGGAGACTAGAAGCATCCTGGTAATAGACTGAAGTGGGAGAGATCAGTGGGAACCTGCTTAGCTCGCTATAGATACAAATGGTTACATATAGAAATATTTATAGGTATGTATTATTGTTGTTAGTTTCCTTAAGTAGAAGGAACTCCTCAACTCCTTGCAATCCCCCCTGTGCAAAGCACAACTTCTCTAGAGGGTTTGTAAGGCTGTGCCCCTTCGGAAGCAGATCACCAGGCCTGTCTTCCAAGGTGCCTCTAAGTTTGAACTGCCAACCTTTCAGCTAAGTCCAGTGCTTAACCAGTTGCTCCACCCGGGGACTCCTGTAGATAATGTGTCTATATGGATACATTCACATACATACATTGCAATGAGCTGCTGACCTAAAGGTTGGCAGCTTGAATCCACCCACTGGTGCTGCTGAAGAAAGACCTGGCAGTCTGGCTCTGGAAAGATTACAACCCAGAAAACCCTATGGGAGGGTTGGCAGACAATGTATGTGCTGTGAGAATGTCAGGTGTATAGTAGAGCTGACAAGGCACAAGGTTGTGGTGACTTCTTAGCCACAGGCTAAGAAGGGAGGTGAGTAGTTGGACCTGTGGGCTCGGGACCATGGTCACAGGGGACATCAAGCTCAGCTGGCATAACACACTACACAAAAACACTGTTCCACATCATACTTGGGTGAGCAGCAACCGGGATCTTGAAAGCTTGCAAGTGGCCATCTAGATGCAACGATGGGTCTCTCCTTGTCCAGAGCAAAGAAGAAAACCAAAGATGCATGGAAATAATTAGTCCAAGGGACTGGTACACCATGCGATCCTCAGCCTATATGACTATGAGGCTAGAAGAACTAGATGGTGCCTGGCTACCACTGTCAACTGCTCAGAGGGGGATTGGTGCAGGAGATCTTGAATAGAGTGAGAAAACAATGTGGAATAAAACTCAACATTGTAAAAAGAAAAAAAAAGAAAGACCAGGTTTGCTGGTCTGATAGAGCCTGATGGAACCACTGAGACTTTGGCCCCTAGCTGCCCTTCAGGTCTGGAATTGAACCCACTCCTGTGGCTTCCAGCCAAACAATAGACAGGCAAATGGGGTGAGCATTTACATTAGGTAGATATACTCCTTAGAGTGATCAATCTTGGGAGAACAGAAGGGCAGTGTCTGCACAGGGAGACAGCTCAAGGGGCAAGAGTGTATGGCAGGGAAGGAAGTGGGAAGAGAGCTGTTACATTGTGGGAATTGCAATCAATGTCATGAGACAAAATGTGTATGAACTGCTGTATGGGAAATGAATTTGCTCTGTAAACTTTCACCCAAATCACAATTAAAATTAAAAAGAAAGGAAAGGTCTACGGAGCAGTTCTACTCTGTAACACATGGGATCGTTAGGAGTGGAAATGGACTCAGCGGCAACAGCTATAATACATGGGTTAGTACACACACACGTGCACACACACATACCACACACGTGCATAAGAATGGCGAATAGTCTATGCTAGATATTCTGCTTTCAAGGAGGGGGAGCATCACTCCCACCCTTTAAGTGTGGGCTGTGCATGGTGACTTGTTTCCAAGGGCTACAGAATGGAAAAGGAAGAGAAAGAGTGACTTCACAGTGGGGACGCGTGACAAACACACTTTGGCCAGGTGGGCAGGATCAACATGAGTGGCAGGTCATTTTCATAGTATGTACCCTGAATATGATGAGAGGAGAGTATCTCACCTCTATGGTCTTCTTCCCAAAACCCAGACCAGTCATGAGATAAACTTTAGACAAATCTCACTATTGGGGCATCCTACAAAACACCTGACCAGCACCCCTCAAACTGTCAAGGTCTCCAAAACAGGGAAAGTGTGACAAACTGTCACAGCCCAAAGGAGCCTGAGGAGACATGAGGACTCAATGTCATGTGGGTCCTGGATGTGTTCTTGGGACAGAAAACAGGTATCATAGGGAATATTAAGGAAATCTGAATGAAGTGTGGGCTTTAGTAAATAACAATGTGTCAATACTGGTTCAGTCACAAATGTACCACATTAATGTACCAAAAACACCAAACACACTGCCATCGAGTTGGATCCAACTCATAGCAACTCCTCCTTGGGGTTCCCGAGGCGGTATCACTACGGAAGTAGATTGCCCAATCTTCCTTCCGAGGAGTGGCTGGTGGGTTTGAACACCAAGCCTTCTGGTTAGCAGTCAAATAAGGCATTAATAATGGGGGAAACTGGGTGTGGGTATAGGGGAACCCTATGTACTATTATTACAATCATTCTGTAAATCCAAAACTGCTGTAAAATAAAAAGTTTACTTAAAAGATAATATAGTTGCCTGGAGGAATGAAAAGTAGGAACACAAACAGATACTTGTACACCAATGTTCATTGCAGCATTGCTTACAATAGCCAAAAGGTGGACACTCAAGTATCCATCAGTGATGAATGGATAAACACAATGTGGTTATCCATACAATGAAATATTACTCAGCCATAAAGAAGTGAAGTCCTCATACATGTTACAACATGAATGAACCTAAAAACATTATGCTGAGTGAAACAGGTCAGTCACAGAAGGACATATATTGTATGATCCTACTTATATGAAATCTCTAGAATAAATAAGTGCACAGAGATCAAAGTTTGTTAGTGGTTTCCAGGGGTGAGAGTGAGAGAGGAAGAAAGAAATGCATAATGTGAAGGGGACAGTGAGCTTCTGTTAAGAATGATGGAAACATTCAGGAATAGATGGTGGTGATGGTTGAATAACATGAAGGTAATTAACGTCACTGAACTGTACATGTGAAGATTGTAGAAATAGCAAATGTTATTGTTACCACAATAAAAATGATGTGGTTTCCAAGGGAACAGGGATTGTCCTGGGCTGGAGGTAGACACCAGGTAGGACAATGGGCAGCATTCAAGCTGGAGGTGACCAGGTCTTGATTAAGGCAGGGGCTGTGGGATGTAGTCTGGGATTGTTCAGAGATGCTGGGCTCACAGTTCCAAATGGGGATGAGGAAGAAAGAGAAAACTTTCAGGAACTTCCAGGTTTCTGGCTGAAGCTCCTGGGCTACCCTTACTGAGCAGGGAGACTGACAGGAGCAGGCCTGGAGGTGATGACTCAACTTGAAGGTTGAAGGGGGGCCTGGTAGGGATTAGATAAGTCTCGGTTGATGAGGGCTAGGCAAGGGGCATCGTAGTCTATCATATTTGGGTGCCTCTTGTGGTGCAGTGGTTAAAGCATTAAGCTCCTAGCCAAATGTTTGGTGGTTCAAACCTACCAGCCACTCCGCGGGAGAAACATGAGGCAGTTTGCTTCCTTAAAAATTTGCTGCCTTTGCTGAGACTATGGCCCCTAGCTCCCCTTCAGGTCTGGAATTATACCCACACCTGTGGTTTCCAGCCAAACAAAAGACAGGCATATGAGTTGAACATTTACCTGAGGTAGATACACTCCTTGGAGAGAACAATCATGGGAGAAAGAAGGGCTGCTTATGCACAGAGAGACAGCTCAGGGAGCAGGAGTGCATGGAGGGATGGACTCAGGGAAGAGGTAACTATGGGGAGGAAGTGGGAGGGGAGCTGTTGCATTGTGGTAAATTGTGGTCAACGTCATGAGACAAAGTGTATGTGAATTGCTGTATGGAAAGTGAATTTGCTCTGTAAATTTTCACGCACAACACACACACACAAAAAATTTGCTGCCTTAGAAACCCCATGGAGCTATTCAACTCTGTTCTATAGGGTCGCTATGAGTCAGAATAGACTCAATGGCACTGGGTTTTTGGTGGCCTGATGGCATCAGTAGGGATGGTCCTCTCAACCTTGGGGCTAGATCTACCGGTTCCCCGCATCTGTCTGCAAGACTCGCTGTGCAACCTCGTTGCCAATTCTTGCCCTCTCTGAGCTTTAGTATATCTGTATATTGTTGTTGTTGCTGTTATGTGCCGTGGAGTAGGCCCGACTCATAGCGACCCCTCCTTGAGTTTCCGAGGCAGTATCAGTACGGAAGTAGATTGCCCAACCTTCCTTCCGAGGTTTGAACTGCCAGTCTTTGGTTAGCAGTCAAGTGCCTTAGGTACTACGCTACCAGAGAGCTCCATCTGTATATGAAGATCAATAACATCCTAGTCACAGGATTGTTGGGACCATCAAGTGTGCCCTGCACAGTGCCTGGCACACAGCCGGCACTCAATAAATGCTGGTTACTCCTTCCTCCTGGGTTTCAAGTGGCAGGAGCGATGGCAGGAGCGGTGCCTGTCACTTTAAAATATGCAAATATTGGGGGACGCGATGAAGAGGCACCACCTCTCAGTCTCAGCTAATTAGCGCGCCAGATTGGAGAAGCCGGCCGCCCAAACTGCCCAATCGTGTACTGCTCGGCCTCTGAGCCCGCCCCTGCCTCCGGGCGACGTCGCGGGGGAGGGGACTCTCTAGGCCACGCCCCAGGGGCGGGACCCGCCGACAGTCGCGCTGCAGCCGCTGAAGGAGGGGAGGGGCGGGGCGGACTCGGGTGTCAGCGACCGAGCCGCAGGTGGCGGCGGGCGCGGGCTCCGCCGAGCTACGAGGTGAGTGTGCCCCCGGGACCCCCACCGGGCCGGGACCTCCACGCGCCAGCACCAAGCAATCTCAGTGGACGAAGGCACGGCAGCGGCGTCGTGGGGGACGGCGAGCAGGGTGGGGGGCTAGCTAGGGGCGACTGGCCTCCCCCCGGCGGTGGCCGTGGGTCTGCAGACCAAGATAGGGACCCCACCCCAAGCCTCCTGTTCCCTGTCCTCGACCCATGGGATGCAGGAGGGCGGCTACGGTGAGAGACCCCTCCCCAAGTCCTTTATTCTAAGCCTCGATCGGGTCTAGGTTCCAGGGCTGCTAAAATGGGGGCGCTAGCCCCTCTCCATCCAGGAAGACCCAGGCTGAACCGCCTCTCAATTCCCCTCTTCTGAGCTCTGACTTACAGGCCTCAGGGGACGAGATGAGGGACCCCCTTCCCATTTTCTCCAGTGTGAACCCCAATCCAGGCCTCATTGGCCTGAGGAGCTAGAAGTCCCTTGACCCCTCCTCTAAACGGTCCCACCCTAGCCCCGCCACTCAGGGAGTGGGTTTCACTCCCATCCCCTGCAGAGACCTCAAGCTTGGGATTCTGGAGAAGGGGCAGCGGCAGGGTCCCCTGCCGGCAAGGATGGTCCATCCGGGTCTGGAAGGGCCTGGTTCGTGGACTTAGGGGTGTCCCTGTCACAATGGGGGAGAGCCTGAGCATCTGTTCTCAGGGGATTAAAATAAATTGAGGTAAATTAGGCTCTTGCTGGAGGCGGGCAGGGAGTGGGGTGTGGAGAAGGGCTGGAGGGGGGTGGGCGGCCCCTCCATCTGCCTCGGATCCCATTCTAGGAGTCGCCCTAGCACCAGCCGCAGTAGGGACCAGAAGGAGGCTTAAGGCAGTCCTGCCTCACAGGTGACCTTGGGCAGATGACAGGATCTCTCTAAGCCTCAGTTTCCTCTCTTGAAAATTAGGGGTGGGGCTTCAGACCCTGCCTTCTACAGATTTTTAACTCCCCACCCCTACCTTTTGTGGGGCGTGACTTTATTTATTTATGCTTAAAATGTGGGTAGTTCAGGGCCAGAGAGCATTGGGTTTGGAGACCCCCTGCCTTGTGTCTTGCTGGCCTCGAAGCCTTAGTTTACTGCTCTGCAAAATGGGTTAATGGTCACACCCTGGCATTGCGGGTATGGTCCGGAGAGAACAGGGGAGAAGAGAGGGGGTGCCCTGCCAGACAGTAAAACATTGAACAATGCTGCAGTCGTTGGGACGGGGCCCCTGCACCCTGGTTACACCAGTGGGGCCACCTGGGTCACACCCTGACCCACATACCATCACCCACGCCAGGGGTAAGCCAGCTTCTGCTGGACAGGAGAAGGCGGGAGGTGCCAGGCCAGCCCTATTCCCTGTGCATACAGAGGGGTGAACACAGGGTTAGAATCCAGGGGTCCTTGCCCCCCTGTATCTTGATTTGTTCTTCTGTGAAGTGGGCTGGTTCCCTCTGGGAAGATCAAAAGAGCTTGTGGGATGTGGGAAACAATGTCAATGCATATGTGATCATTATAATATTAATGACAATATCTGTGGTCATTAGATGAGGTCACAGCTGACAGTGTGGGGGGAGGAGAGAGGTAAGTAGCCAAAAGGGTGTTGCCTGTTGTGTCTCCAGTGCCTGGCAGAGTCAAGTACACAGTTGGTGCTCAATAGGTATCTGCAAGAGGTGAAAAACTATAGTATATGCTCAGATGCTGTTCTGGAGCTCTGGTAGTGTAGTGCCTAAGGGACTTGACTACTAATCAGAAGGCTGGCGGTTCAAACCCACCAGCCACTCCTCAGAAAGAAGATGGGACAATCTACTTCCATAGAGATACTACCTCGGAAACCCAAGAAGGGGTCGCTATGAGTCGGTCTGACTCCACGGCACATAACAACAACAGATGCTGTTCAGCTGATGGCTGTTGCTGTGATACCAGGGTCAGGTGCCTCAGTTTCCCCATTGGATGATGGGCAAGATGAGAAAATTGCAGCACCATCATCAACGTCAAGCCAGATTGTGTACATGGTCCCAGCTCGGGTGGCTGGCTTGAAAGGTTAGAAAAATATTGCCAGTCACTGGAAAGAACAGGAAGGAACCCACAGCCCCCCCAAAACTGGCCCTACTGTGTGCTAACTCAAGACCAGGGAGAGGCAAGACCTCAGATCCCCCTTTGTAGAACCCCGGAGGCCCAGAGAGGTCGGGATGGGTCAAGGTCACCTGGGGAGGGTTCAGTGGCTCCAGATACCCGGCCAGCGCCCCTCCCTCACCTCCCCAGGCCTGTGAAAGTCTTAATGTGGCCTTGGGTTTGAGTTCCAGCTCTGCCACTCAGTGGCTATACCCGTTTGGGCCTCAGTTTCCCCTTCTGTGCAGTGGGCGGGCATAATTAGCTCCCCTGGGGAAGGCTACATGGAGAATCCCAAGTCTGGGGTTGGTGCTTGATTTGCGAGTGTTATTATTTTGGTTCATGGTAGAACTCTTCCATGTGGAAGCACTGGGCTAGACTCCCAGCCAGTACATCTCAGTTGCAGCCACCAGCCCTCTGTCAGTGCAGGCTTGCATGTTGCTGTGATGCTGAACAGGGGTGCTTCTAGACTAAGAGTAGGAAGAAAGGCCTGGCAATCAACTTTCAAAAATCAGTCATGAAAACTCTGAATCATGATGATCCCGTTCACAGCCAGTCACGGGGATGGTGCAGGACTGGGCCGCCCTTCGTTCTGTCATGTGTGCGTTGGGTTGCCATGAGTCGGGGCCTACTTGACAGCAGCTAATACCGGTGGATATTATTATTATTGGTTGTCATTATTATTGTTCAGTAACAATAGCCCCATGGAGCCCTGGTGATGCAGTGGTTAAAGAAGATATGACAGTCTGCTTCTGTAAAGATTGACAGCCTTGGAGAGCCCACGTGGCAGTTCTGCTCTGTCCTTCAGGGTCACTATGAGTCGAAATCCACTCAGTGGCAATGGGTTTGGTTTTTTTGGTTAATGATGGCCCCTAGCTGGGGGCCCCAGGTTCAGGGGCCTCAGTTTACCCACCCATGGCCCCTGAGATTCCAGGCATGTCTCTGGGCACCCTTCACGGGACAGGTACAGTGGCTGTTGGAGGGTGGGTGGGGCGATACAAGCTTCCTGTCCCCCTACGCACACGCACGCGGACCTATGCTTGGTGCTGACGGAAGTAGCAGTGGCTGCGTGGCCTCCCCTGGTACCTGCTCTGTTGGGAGAGGGGCCCTAGCCCCTCTTATTACCCCATCTGGTGAGTTCGAGTCCTGGCCAGGAGGTTGCCGTTGCCCCTCCTTGTTCCCCTCAAGGACAGGAAGGAGCCCTTCCGCATGCCCTGAGTTTCAGCGAGAAGTAGCAGGTGTCACTTCCTGGGCTGGGCCACCCTTCACTCTACTCTTCTGCTCCGTGTTATTGCTCCAAGTGGTGAGGCTGGTGGGAGGGGGCAGGACAGGGGATATTGAAACCCTGAGCCGCACATGGTGCTTTCAAGCAGATGTTTTTTGCCAGATAGGCTGAGGTCATGATCACAGTGACCCTGACCCTGGGCCAGAAACAGGGGGCTTTTCTGTGCCTCAGTTTCTGTGTCTGGAAAGTTGAGGCTGAGTCCCTTGATTGGTTGTGAAGGTTTGGTGAGCTGTGGCACTCCGTGTGTGTGAGTGTGTGTGTGTGTGTGTGTGTGAGGTGGAGGGTAGAACAATTCATTCAGAGCTGTGAAAAAAAGTAGTGACATGCTTGGTGTCTGGGGAACTTGGGCCCAGGGTCCCTGGGACCCTCTAGAACAGCACTGTCTGAATCTGTGCTGTCCGCCAGCCAGCCCTGTGGGGCTTTGGAGCACCTGCTGTCACAGCTGAGGGACTGGGTATAATTGTGTTTAAATTTATTTAGCTTAAAATTAAGTAGCCACATGTGGCTAGTGGTTCCTGTATCAGTCAGCACAGCTCTGAGGGATTTAGAGATACTTGGGGTTCGGGCCACAGCCAGATGGTAAGAAATGAAACAAATTTAGGGCTTCTCTCACTTGGGATGTCAGCCAAACATCTCCCCTCAGACTGGGTTTCTTAGGGCATCCCACCAGGGGCTGAAGTTTCTCAGGGACTCCAGGATTGCTCAGCACAGAGTGGCAGTTGAGAGCATTTGTGGAATCAAAGAATTAATTTTTTGCTGGGTGAACTCCTATTCATCCTTTAAAACCCCAACTCACATGACCCCTCCTTCAGTCTAGGCTCCACCAGTCCTTGTCTGTTATGCAGCCTGGTCCTGACTTCATGGGACTGGGAGTGTCAGTGTCTGGCTTAGTTTCCTAGACTGAAGGCATCTTGGGGGCCAGGCCCAGGGCAAGATTGTCTCAGGGGCCCTGACATTGCACACAGTGGAGCCTGGATGAATCACAGAAGCCTAAGGACTGGGAGTTGGGTGATGATGGGTTAAATGAAACTCATTTTCAAGATTAGGTAAACTGAGACTCATCAAGAGGCAGCCTTGCCTGAGGTCCTGCCTGTTCCGCCATCCTCCACATCCTGTGGTCACCATTCCTGTTCCTGCTGCCATTGCACCTCCTGAGCTCCCAGCTGCTGCCGTGCTGCCCGCGGAGTCATGAATTATGGATGAGGCCTGCGGGCTCCGGTGACAAGCCTAGCCTTGCTAATGTGCCACGGACACTGCGTGTCCCTTCCCCACTGGGGAGCCCAGCCCAGTCCCCTCTGAAGGGAGGCCTAGGGTCCCCCAGGAGGACCCCTTCTAGCCAGCCCCTCTTGTTTTGCAGATGGGGAAATTGAGGCACAGAGCTGGCCAGTGACTCGGCTACCAGGTAAACACTGGGGGGACTGATGCCAGCTGGGTCACCGTGGTGAGGGGTGAGCTCCCCATCTAGGGTTGTACACAAGAGGCAGGATATGGTAGAGGGACTCGGAAGACCCCCAAGGGACCCTTGGGGACATTCCAGGGACCCCAACCCCTACATGGGAGTCACAGCCCTCAGCATCCATCTCTCACCAGACCATTTTCCTGCAGGAGCTGCCCAGCGTGGAGCTGAGTGTGGGTCTGGACTCGGCCGGTCCAGGGTGCGAATCCACTGTCACCTCCTGGCTGTGTGACCTTGGCAAGTGGTTTTACCTCTAGGGGCCTCAGTTTTGCTATCTGTGAAATGGCCCAGAGCTTCTTTGTCTAGGCTGGGGCTCATTCCTCCACTTGTAAACTCTTGCTCTTGCGTTAAAATCCCCAACTTCCATGCCTCTTCCTCTAGTCTGGGCTCCCCTAGTCCTTATCCCTGTATCCAGTCCCAGCCTGACCCCACAGGTCTGGGAGTGTCTAGGTCTAGGTCTGTCCCCCTAGGATGAAGCTACTCTGGAATCATCTCAGGGGCCCTGGAATGCTCCCAGCCTTAGGGCTTTCAGTTCCTCTTCCACCTTCCCTCTCCCTCCTCCACAGGGAGGATGGTTGGAGTTTCCCCTCTTCAGACCCACACTGGCTGTGACTCTGCAGCTCAAATTTGCCTCTCTCTTCAGACAAACACTGGTCGGGGCCTGTGGGGGTCTCCACAGCGGCCATCAGGATGTCGTATTTTGGGGAGCACTTTTGGGTAAGTAAGACTTACTCTTATTTTGGTGAGGGCTCCTGGGAGGACTGTGGGGCTTTTATGAAGGTGGGGCGACCCAACACCCCATAGAGAGAGCCAAATGCAGGTAGAGGGTCTACAGGGGGGTAGGAGTTGAAGTAGGGAGAATCATACTGTGAATCTGCACCACCAGCCCTCAGTGGGTGACCTTGGACAGGTCACATCTTGAACTACAGGAACACCAAGGTCCAGTAAGAAAGTATAGAGTCTGGATTTGAACCCAGGGCTAGGACTCCAGTCCCAGCCCCAGGATCCAAGGATAATCTGGCCGGGGAATTTCCACATCCTTCTCACACTGGAGAGTTGGGGAGTTTTCTTGCTTTTGGCCCCTTATAGCCCCCTCGACTCTCTGCCTTCTGGACTGAGGAGGGCAAGCTGTGAACTGATGGGGGAGGTAGGTCACATGGGCTTATTTTCATTCATTCATTCATTCACTCTTTGCCACCCTGGGAGATACTGGGGCATTTGAGAGGCTCTGTCTGATCCCAGCCCTGCCCCCAGGACAGGCACCCCCAGCCCTGTGGGGTCTGCCTTGGGGATATGCAGAGAAGCCAGGATCAGAGCTTGTTTGCAGTAGGATTTGAATATGATTTGAAGGCTGAGAGATTTTCCAGGATGGGAGAAAGGCATTCCAGTCCAGAGGAACAGCTGGGCAAGAGCCCAGAGGTGTGGCACTGGTGGCAACTTCGGGGAACAGGGACTGCTCCTGCAGGGCCAGGCAATAGGGAGCCACAGAGGGTTTGTGAGCAGGGGAGGGCCCAGGAGTTGGGGAGGGGCTTGGGCAGAAGCCCCCTCCCCTCCACAGTTGCAGGCCCAGAGCTTGCAGAGAGGAAGCCTGTTGCTAGGTGACTGGTTGCCCCTGACAACAAGCCTGCTTGCTCACTCCCTCCCCTTCTCCCTCCCCAGCTGGGGTCCTTTTACTGGCTCTGGCTTTCTTAAAGGAGCCTCACCTCCTTGTTACCTTAGCCCCCTTCTCCAAGAGCGAGACTCCTCCAGATTTGCCTTTGAATGTCTGTGTGACCCCGGGGATGGGCTGCCCCTCTCTGAGCCCCTGTTTCCACCTCTGTGTAAGGAGGTTGACCATTTGGGAATCAGTCCTCGCCCACGTTTTGGAACCCTGGCAGCGGCGCCTACATTTATTTTAAATTTCTTTTAATTGCACAAGACATGTGAGCTCACTGCAGGAAATTCAAATCAGCAAAAAGAGAAGAGAAGCCACCCCTATACCTCCCCCCTAAAGACAGCCACAGGCTGAATGGTTAAGAGCTTTGGGTTCAGGGTTTGGATTTGAATTCAGACTCCGCTGGGAGCCCTTGAACGTTGCCTGTTTGGCTTTGCCTTCCAGAGACAAGTTTCCTCATCTGGTAAAGGGGCTTGAAATGCCTAACTCAGGGAGAGCACTAGGGACACTGTCTTTGTCAGTTCTTTGAATCCATCGTTTATGATACCCCATGCATGCTAGCTCTGTACTGGGAGCTGCTGGGCCCTAGCCAGCCCCAGGGAGGTCTCAGTCAGGGGAGATCAAGCTGGACAGAGATGCCCCAGCCCCATGGGCCCAAGACAGGGTCCCAGGCATTGATGGTACTGGGGAGCCATGGTGAAAGTGTGAGCTGCAGAGGAATATGCTCAAGCTGTATTTCAAAGATCCTGCTGGGGCTGGTATGGAGGGCAAGCTGGTATCCGGAGGTTCTTGGGAGGAGACACAGGCCCGAGCCAGCCACTCCTAGGACCCCCAGCTGCCATCCCAGCCAGAGGGAGGCAGGCGCCACTGGGGGCTTTGCCAAGCCTGGGAAACGGGCCAGTGGTTGGCTCTGAGTCAGTCCCAGATGCTGGCCTGGGCAGTGGTGCCTGGCACGGCCTCACCCAAGGATCCCCCAGATGAGTGGGCAGGCAGGGGCTGCTAGGGCTGTTTAGGGAGCCCTCACCATCGTCCCCAGAGGTCCAGCACTTGGCCATCCTCATCTCACTAAGACCCTTGGGAGGTGGGTGCTGTCAGCATCTCCATTTGCTCAACGAGGAGACTGAGACCCAGAGAGGTGACGTCACTGGCCCAAAGTGACCCAGTGACTCAAAGGGGGATTTGACATTTGAAACTTGAAAGCGTAACTCCAGACACAGGAAGAGAGAACATGCATTTTTTGATGAGCTAGGGGAAGAAACTGTGAGAGCTTGGGAGTCATGGGGTCATGAGAGTCTAGGAGGGTCAAGGAAAATTCCTGGAGGAGATGAGCTTGCAGCGACCCCTGAGGGTTAGAAAGATTTGGATGGGCAGAAGTTGCCCAGGCAGAGGCATGGTACCTGGATGATACATATATCTTTGCACTCCTTGCTGTTTTGCTGGCTAGACCTGGAGGAAGCTGGGAGATGAGGTTGGATAGGCAATTCCAGGCTAAGGAGTTAGGACTTCAGTTGGTGGGCAGTAGGGAGCCATTGATGATTGTAGAATGAGGGGTGGTGCCTGAGAGATTGGAGCTTGAGGCTGTTCTAGATCTGCCCCAGTCTGAGCCTCAGTGTCCCCATTTATGCAGTGAGAGGGATCATCTGGTAGCAGCTTCTGGCTTTTAACCTTCAAGCTCCCAGATAACTAGGAGGGTGAACTCCACAGGTTGGAGGAGGGTGGAAGAAAGCATCACTTACGGGGGGCCTGCTAAGTGCTGAGTGCTTTATGCCCATCACTGTTGCCAAAGGGACGGCTTTAGTGATTAGTGCTTGGAGTGAAACATCCTCAGATCCTTCCGGGAGCCTCCTTTTCCCGTCCTGATGATAAGGCCCCGTTGTGTGAAAGTCTCTCTGCTTCCCTAGGGCTCTGGCTCATTTTCCTTTTTCTTCTTGTCATTCTCATAAAAATATCTATAACACAGCATTTGCCACTTAATATTTTTATGGGTGCAGTTTAGTGACATCAGTTAATCACATTCATCATGTTGTGTAACCATCACCTATAATTGTTGCCGAATTCACTACACCATTAACAGAGGCCTACTGCTTCCTAAACCGTGATTCCCCTTCCCCTGCCTTCACCTCCCTGGTAACCACTAATCAACTGTGGTCTCTATAACCAAAAGAACCAAACGCACTGCCATAGAGTCGGATCCGACTCCTAGCAACCCCTCCTTGGGTTTCCGAGGCGGTATCACTACAGAAGTAAATTGCCCAACCTTCCTTCTTCAGAAGAGTGCCTGGTGGATTTGAACCGCCAGCCTTCTGGTTAGCAGTCAAATGGCTTCTAATCCAGCCATTTCATAGAAGTGAGATCATACAGTGCTGTTCTCTTGTGACTGACTTCACTCGGCGTGATGTTTTCCAGGCTCATCTGTGTTGTGCATGTCTCAGGACTTCATTCCTCTTTATGACTGAGTAGTATTCCATTGTGTGGATGGACCACATTGTGTTTGCCCATCACCTGTTGATGGACATTTGTTTTTTTTCCATCTTTTGGCTCTCGTGAAAGGCGCTGCAGTGAATGTTGGTGCACAGGTTTCTGATTGGGTTCCTGCCTGCACTTCTGGTGTGTAGCTAGGATTGGGATTGCTGTCAAATGGTAATTCTATGTTCAGTGTTTTGAAGAACCACCAAACTGTTTTCCACAGTGGCTGTACCATCTTACATTCCTACCAGCAATGGATGAGGGGTCCAGTTTCTCCGCAACCTCACCAACACCTGTTGTTTTCCGTCTTTATTATTATCATTACTTTTACCATTGACATTCTAATGGGGGTGAGATGGTATCTCATTGTGGTCTTGATTGGCATCATCTCCCTTTCTAACGAATGGCTCAGGGCTCAGACATGACATCTTGCACAGGTGACAGGATCTGGCTGAATTGAAACATAACTGGTGCCTTATTTTTCACGGCTGCTCTCATTATGGCAGAGTCTTGGTTTTCCATTTAGAATAATGGCAAGAGTTGCCCCCTGAAGTAAATGTATTTGGGAAAGAAACATAAGTGAATTTAAAGCAACATGTTAAATAAATAATACCCTGTATTTGCAAAACAGGGGTCACCTTTGGGTGTTTGGGGATCATCTTAGTACCTAGTGCTGCTGTCACTAACACAAATACAACTGGGTCGCTTTAAAGAACAGAAGTTTATTTTCTCACAGTTCTGGAGGTGGAAAGTCCAAATTAAGGTCTTTCCCATGTTGATTTCTTGTCAGCAGGCCCAGGCATTTCTTGGTTTGAGATGATCTTTACATGGTATCTTCTCCCATGTGTGTGTCCTGAGTCTATTCTAGAGGTTTTTTTTTTTTTTTTTTTTTTTTTTAATAATTCAGAAGATTTAGAATCCTACCTATACTGGTATAACCTCATCAGCCTAACAAGAGAAAAACTGTATTTCCAAATAGGATCCCATTCACAGGCACAAGGACTGGGAATTCACCTCATTTTGTGGGGACACAATGCAGTCTGTAACAGAGACTTTGATGTGGATCATCCTGGTGTCTACTTTATCTCTGTATGATGGGTAGATGGGTCCCTACCCCAAGAGCCACCAAAGGTTCAGAGAGGGACAGTGACTTACCTAGGTCACACATCACAGCCATGGCCTCCCCCACTGTAGCAAGCCCGGGAACTGGGAGGAAAGGGGTACAGTTCCCACCAGCACTAGAAAGTAACCGCAGAAGAATTCATTTCTTCATTCAGCAGACTTAAATGCCCATTCGGTGCCTGACCCCTGCTGGGCAATATTGGGGACCAAGAGACAGTGAAGACCTGCACCCTGCTTTGGATTCTCACAGGGGGAGTTTCCATGTTGATGAGAACAAAAAAAACAAAACAACAACAAAAAAACATAGTGACTTACACAACACGGGTTGTACTGGCTCACAAAATTGACATGTTGTGGCATGTGACTTCCAGGGTTAATTTGCTCCAGCAGCTCAACTCTGAACACTTTAAAAAGAAAATCAGACTTTCTTGGGTTTAGCTTCTTTTCAAGGTTCATGGTTTCCACTTGGCTTCCACTGTCTCCTGTGACCACACTAATTGCTCATTTGTGAAAAGGCACATAAACAGATAAACAGGAGAGACTGATGGAGAGACACAGAGAAATATAGAGATACACAGAGAAATATGGAGACGCAAAGAGATAAGGAGCAAGTGAGAATGGGTTTTTGTATCTCTCAACTACGGTGCAAAAATCCCAGGCTTCCCTCTGATTGAACCAATTTAAGGCACATGAACCAATCACTCTGAGAAGAGGGAAATGCCACATGTTGATTGGGTCAAGCCTGAACCAATCCCTAAAGTCAAGGTGATAAGCTTCTGCTGTTTGATTCCTCTGTCAGTGACCCTGTTGCTAGGCAACCCCAACGTCCTCTCCATACCCTTCCTCAGTATCCTCCTCCATCCTCTGCAGGGCGAGAAAAACCATGGCTTTGAGGTTCTGTACCACAGCGTGAAGCAGGGGCCCATCTCTACCAAAGAGCTGGCGGACTTCATCCGGGAGAGGTGAGACTTCACGCCCCGCCCACCCCATGGCCACACCCACAGTTCATGGGCCATGCTCACTCACACCGCTCCACCCCAACCACACCCACAAACCAGACTGCCCAGCTACGCCCACTCATTGCCCTGTCCACACACCAGCCCCACCTATCCCCGTTCTGGTTCCACTCAGGCAGTCAAACCCACTCCATGGCCTTGCCCATAAACCAGTTCCTCCAATCCCATGTTAGGCCCACCCAGACAGCTACTTCCACCCATCGTCGTCACACCCTGGTCATGCCTGCCTGTCCTCTGCCAGGTTTATAACCTTTCCTGCTGGAAAGAAATCCATAGGTAATATATAACCTGCTTCTTGTTGTTGTTATGTGCGGTGGAGTCGGACCCGACTCATAGCGACCCCTCCTTGGGTTTCCGAGGCAGTATCACTGCAGAAGTAGATTGCCCCATCTTCCTTCCGAGGATGGCTGGTGGGTTTGAACCGCCAGCCTTCTGGTTAGCAGTCCAGTGCCTTAGGCACTATGCTACCAGAGCTCCTATATAACCTGCTAACATGGGGAATTAAAAAAAAAAAAAAAAACCACAACCCTGACTATGATAAAGGAAAACACATGTATGATGAAAAATCCACATTTCAGCACGTGAAGTGACTCAGATGCCTTATTCCAGAAAACACAATAAAATAGTGGCAAAAGCAGCCTCTGTTCCCCGTACCCACAGTAGCTGACTGCCTGGTAAATATCCCATGTCTATTAAATCTGCGGGAGTTCCTGGGTGTTGCAAACAGACGATGCTCTTGGCTGCTGACCAGAAGGTTGGAGGTTTGAATCTACCCAGAGGCACCTCAGAAGAAAGCCTAGGCTAATATCAAAAGACAAAAAACCAAACTTACTGCCCTGGAGTGGGTCCCGACTCATCGCCATCCCTCCTTGGGTTTCTGAGGTGGTATCTCTACAGAAGTAGATTACCCAATTTTCCTTCTGAGAAGTGGCCGATGGGTTTTAACTGCCAGCCTTCTGGTTAGCAGTCAAGTGCCTTAGCACTGAAAAACCAATGGAGTGGCTCTACTCTGACACACGTGGGACTGCTGGGAGTCGGAACAGATTCGATGGTAACTGGTTGGGGACGAAATCCTGCAGGAGTCCCTAGATTGGTGGAATGCTCAACGCACTCAGCTACTAACCAAAATGTTAGAGGTCTGAGCCCACCCCAAGGTGCCGCCAAAAGACCAGCCATTGCAAACGTACGGAGCACAGTTCTACTCTGAGACACATGGGGTCGCCGTGAGCTAGAGTCAACTCGAGGGCAACTGTTTTTCCTTTGTCCGTTGAAGGAGGAAAAGGAAATATGAACTTGCCTCCTTTAATTAAATAAGACAGACTATACGAAACACCATATACTGTATGCTCAGGAAAAAGGCAGCTGGTGCTGCTGCTGCTACTTCTGTTGTTAATAAGATGTATTATGGGGGGAGGGGCGGCACACTTCCATGAACTGTCAAAAAGTCCTCCCCCCTGCAAGGAGCTGCACCACCCTTGGTCAGATAGATCCCCTCCTTGTGTTTGAGTTGGGGAAACTGAGGCTGGGGACTGGTACCTCTCCCCAGAGTGCCCAGAACCTTCCCCATCCTTTTCCCTGTCCTCCCACCCAGGGCCACCATTGAGGAGACCTACTCTAAGGCAATGGCGAAACTCTCCAAGCTGGCCAGCAATGGGACCCCCATGGGGTACGTATGCTGTGGGTGGGGTGGGACTCATCAAGGTGGCCATGGGTCTGCGTGCATTGGGCACCTCCTGGGATGTGGACATCTCTCCACACTGTGAACATGGGGACAGAGGTGTCCCCCCCACTGGCTGATGGGGTCGTTGCAAATAGGAATTTATGTCCTGCATTCTTTCAGTAGCTCATTCATTCATTCATTCCACAAATATATACTGACACCTATTGTGTGTCAGGAGTCCCTGAGTGGCACAAATAGTTAAGCATTCAACTTCTAACTTGGTGGCTTGAACCCACTGAGGGGCAACGAAGAAGAAAGGCCTGGCAGTCTGCTTCCAAAAGGTCATACCCTTAAGAACCCTAAGAAATAGTTCCGCTTCACACATGGGGTCACCGGGAGTCGGAATTGACTTGATGGAAATGGGTTTAGTGTGTGCCAGGTATCAGTCTACGTACTGGGGGCCTGGCAGCAGCCACGACAGAAAAAACCCTCACCCACTTCCATGCTGTGTCCATCTGGGGTGTCTGAGGAGACAGATGTTAGACATTAATGCAAGCTAAGTCCTGTCTCGGCATCCCAGGGGACGAGGGAATGAACAGCGTGGTGTGATGGAGCAGAGGGGCTGGTGCTGGTCTCGGGTGGACCTGGCTCCCATGAGCTTAGACCTACATCTGAGAAGGAGCTGGCTGGGGGAGTGTCTGGTGGAACAGAGACCCTGGCGCACAGCCCAGCCTGTGAAAAGCCCCTGGGACAGCAAAGTACTTGGTTTGTTCAAGGAAGATCCAGGAGGCTGGTGAGGCTGCAGGGCCCAGGAAGGGGGAGGAAGGTCCTGTTGGCATTTTGTAGCTGCTCTGAGACAGATGTTTTCTTGGCGAAGGGAGTGGAGGGGCAGGGAGGGAAGACGGGGAGCCTGGAGGCACGTTCTGCTGAGGTTTGGAAGACCCAGCTGACTCTATCTGGGGACAGGACATGAGCTCTGTGAACAACTGAGTCAGCCCCTACTCCCCAGCACGAACATCACGTGGGTCCTGGAGCCCCGAGGTGACATTGCACCGGGGGCCTCAGGGCCTGTGGCAAGTTATGGAGCCCCTCATGCCTCACTTTCCCCATGTCACAGGCCTGCCTCCTGTCATTGTGGTAGGGACTCAGTGACTTTATACGTGGCCTTAATAGCAGGGCCCGGTACCTAGGAGGTGCCTGGGCGGATGCGTGGGATACCTAGGCAGAGGGTCGCCCCCTGAGCCCTGGGTGTGACCCCTCCCACCCCCAGGACCTTCGCCCCGCTCTGGGAAGTTTTTCGCGTCTCCTCAGACAAGCTTGCACTCTGCCACCTGGAGTTGACAAGGAAGTTGCAGGACCTCATCAAAGATGTGCTGCGTTACGGAGAGGAGCAGCTCAAGACCCACAAGAAGGTGCGGGGAGGGTGGGGGGAAGGAGGAGGGTGAGAAAGGGGGACACCAGCAGCTGAGAATTCTAGGGGCTTTGAACTTCCAGCCCCTGGTATATGCACCTGTGAATTCTGTGAATCATGGACCATCGATCCCAGAATCTTGGCCCTGAGCATCGCAGAATTTCAGACCCTTAAATTCTAGACCAGGGATTTGGCAAACTATAGCCCTGTCAAATCTGGCCTGCCGTCTGTTTCTGTGAGGGCTTGCAAGCTCAAAATGGACTTGACATTTTTAAGTGGTTGAGGGGAAAAATCCAAAGAAGAACACCTTGAGACACCTGAAAATTAGACGACATTCTAATTTCAGGTTTTATAAATAAAGTTTTATTGGCACATAGCCACACTCATATGTACATATCATCTATGGCTGCTTTTGCTCTGCAACACAGAGTCCAGCCATTGCAATGGAGATTGTATGACCCACAAAGCCAAAAATTTGCCTGTCTGGCCCTTTACAGAAAATGTACTGGCCCCTGATCTACACCATTGGAGGCTTCTTCTGAACAGAATGGCTGACTATTCAAGCCTTAGACTTTGTGTTGTTGGTTGCTGTGGAGTGGATGCCGACTCACAGCAGCTGGATAGGACTGAGTAGAACTGCCCCATAGGGTTTTCTAGGCTGTATATCTTTATGGGAGGCAATTGCCAGGTCTTTTCTTCCGTGGAACAGCTGGTTGTTAGCAGCTGAGAGCTCCAGGGCTCCTCTTAGGATTCCAAAATATTCAAATCTTATTCTAGCATCATAGATGCTTTGCATTTATAGTCTGGAAATCGGCAGTCATTAACAAAGGGGTAGGGAAGTCCCTGGCTGGTACAAATGGTTGATGTGCTTGGCTGCTGACAAGCAGGTTGGAGAATTAAGTTCATCTAGAGGCGCCTCGGAAGAAAGACCTGGTGATCTGCTTCCGAAAAAGTCAGCCATGAGTGGGAGGGGGGATGTGAAGTTGTGGGGAGGGGCATGAGGAAGCTTGCTTGCTTTCTTTTAATTTTTATTGTGATTTGGGTGAAAGTTTACAAAGCCAATTTGTTTTCCATACAGTACTTCATACACATTTTGTTTCATGACATTGACTGCCGTCCCCCATAATGTAACAGCTGTCTTAGGAGTAAGCTTTCTATAGGCTGATAGAAAACAATTTGGGGATGGGTTATTAAGTTGCAAAGACAATGAGTAAAACAGGATGGGCTTCCACCATATGCAATTCAAAAAAGAGAGAGATAAAAGAGCAAACACATTTGTTTGTCTGAGTGCTGGTTATTTCTAGAGAAGAGACAGCAGTAATGAGAGGGGCTCCCAGGCAGAGGCCTGAGAAGTGGGAGAAGGAGGTGAGGGAGTAAATAGGGTCGTGATGATGGCAGCTAGGTCCAGAGTGAAAGGGAGGAGGCTCAGGGCTCTGAGGGCACTGGCACACCTGCGCTGAGAGGCTCTGGGTGAGTTTGAGAGCTGCCGGTGCCTGGTTCCTCCATCTGCCTCCTGATGTTGTAGTGGGTGCCTGAGTCAAAGTCTAGGGTGAACTAGGGAGGGGAGGTCAGGGTGGGGCAGGGCTTTTTCCTGGACTTTCCCCTGAGCACTTTCTGATACTTGAACCTTGTGAAGACATTGCTGATTAAAAGGTTGAAATGTTTCTGAACGTTTACGCTAGGTAGATACACTCCTTGGAGAGATCAATCATGGGACAATAGAAGGGCTGTGTATGCACAGGGAGACAGCTCCGGGGGCAGGAGTGCATGGGGGGGAAGGACACAGAAGAGGTAACTATGGTGAGGAAGTGGGAAGAGAGCTGTTGCATTGTGGGAAACTGCAGTCAATGTAATGAGAGGAGACCAAGTGTATGTGAACTGCTATATGGAAAATGAATTTGCTCTGTAAACTTTCACCCAAATCACAATTTAAAAAAAGTTGAAATTTTTTAAATTGATAAAACACTCAGAAAATGACTTGGTAGACCTGGAATCCCAGGAGTGTTTGGGAAGCTGGAGGTTTCATGGTTGTCACTCGGGGTGCTAAGGCTCGGAGCCCCTGCAGGCAGCCACTTAGAGTGGCAGCAACACCCCTCCCCACCCCCGCCCCCCACGCAGTGCAAAGAGGAGGTGGTGGGCACTCTGGATGCGGTGCAGGTCCTCTCAGGCGTCAACCAGTTGCTGCCCAAGTCTCGGGAGAACTACCTGAACCGCTGCATGGACCAGGAGCGCCTGCGCAGAGAGAGCACCAGCCAGAAGGAGATGGACAAGGTGGGCCTGGGACACGGGTCCCAGCTGTGCCCCGGGAGGGTCCCAGGGATTGATGGGGGTAGGGGGCTGCTGGATGGGAGGTGAAAACACATCACAAAGTGATGGTCATTGGACCTGTGTGTGATCTACCACACCCAGGTGCCCGCCTGCCAGGTGATGGGCCTGTGAGTGTCCCCCTGCCGCCCCTCACCCCTCCCTGTGCCTCCTAGGCAGAGACCAAGACCAAGAAGGCGGCAGAGAGCCTACGGCGCTCGGTGGAGAAGTACAACTCGGCCCGGGCAGACTTCGAGCAGAAGATGCTGGACTCGGCCCTGGTAAGAACCGGGCGTTGGAGCCCTTGAGGTGTTCACATTCCTTGGCCCAGGATGCCGTGGGTCTTGGAATTTCAGAACCTCCTATACCCTCAACTCCCAGGATCCTTAGAGTCCCAGACTCAAAGCCATCAGTTCTAGAATCAGTTAGCTACTGTCTTCATTGTTGTTATTATTATTTCCAAAGCCAAATAATTTTGTGCCTCAGTTTCCCTATCTTTAAAACAGAAATAGTACCTCCTTTATTGGGCACGTATGTGATGATTACATGAGTCGCTTTATGTGATGATTACATGAGTCGCTGTTTATGTGACGTTCTGGCTCTGGTGGTGTAATGCCTAAGGCACTTGACTGCTAACCAGAAGGCGGGTGGTTCAAACCCACCAGCCACGCCTCGGAAGGAAGGTTGGGCAATCCACTTCCGTAGTGATACCACCTCGGAAACCCAAGGAGGGATCGCTGTGAGCCCGCTCCGACTTGAATGCAGTGAGTTTTTTTTTGGTGTTGGCGTCTTAGATGGTACAGGTGGTTAACACACTCAGATGCTGACCGAAGGGCTGGAGGTTCTAGTCCACCCAGAAGTGCTTGGAAGAAAGGCTTGGTGATCTGTCTGCAAAAATTCAGCCATTGACAGCCCCATTGAGCACAGTTCTATTCTCAAACACACGGGGTCACCATCCATCGGAATCGACTCGACAGCTACTGGTTTTCTATGTGAAGTTCTCAGACCAGTACCAAACAAACGAACAACACAACGCACTGCCATCAAGTTGGATCTGACTCATAATGACCCCTCCTTGGGTTTCTGAGGCGGTATCTCTACAGAAGTAGATTGCCCAACCTTCCTTCCGAGGAGTGGCTGGTGGGTTTGAACCACCAGCCTTCTGGTTAGCAGTCAAGTGCCTTAGGCACTACGCCACCAGAGCTCCAGGTGCATAAAAACTGCTCCATGAATCCTCAAAAAGAGAAAACCAATCCCATTGCCATCGAGTCAATTCTGACTCACAGCAACCCCATAGGACAGAGTAGAACTGCCCCATAGGATTTCTAAGGCTGTAATCTTTATGGAAGCAGACTGCTTCATCTTTCTTCTGCAGAGTGGCTGGTGGGTTTGAATTGGTTTGCTGCTGGATGCTTTAACCACTGTGCCAGCAGTGCTTCTTCCATGAATCCTAGCTATTATTATTATTATTTCAGTTACTCCTGATGAGGGCTTTGAACAAGACAAGATGGCATTTCGAAATGGAGGCCTGTCATGGTGGCTGGTAGGCCTGGGTTCTGGTCCAGCCCCCTGCTCCGTGAAACTTGTGCAAAGCTCCTCACCTTTCTGGGTGTCTGTCTACCCAAATGAACAAAAAGCAGTTTGGAATCTTGGAAGGAGTATTCAGAATTTTTTTTCAAGTCACAAGTGATAGACATCTTCATCAAACTGAAAATATTTATAGTTTTGGGACTAAAAAGTTTGTGGTGGGTTCCAGGGCACTGCAGGATCCACAGGTTTGAATGATGATGGCAGAAAGCTGTGCCTCCCTGCTTTGCAGGTGTGTTCTGCTCCATGGGGACTTCACCCCCAGGAAGACGTGCCCTCCTGAGTGTTTGTGTGTGGAGTTGGTGTGTGCAGCCACGTGAAGCAAACTGGCCACCAATAGCTCCAGTTTACTTTCCACTAACTCTTGACTCAAGGAATGAAAATATCTCTTTTTCCATAGCTCCAGCAAATGTCCCAGCATAGTGTTTCATTGGCTTTTCCCCAAGCCAATCACAGGTCAGGGAGTTAAAATGTTCTGATTGGTCAGGCTGGGTCATATGACCTGAGGCCTGCCTCACCTTCCCATTTCCTCCTGCCTTCTTGCCTTAGCGCTTCCAGGCCATGGAGGAGACTCACTTGAGGCATATGAAGGCGCTGCTGGGCTCCTATGCCCACTCGGTGGAGGACACTCACGTGCAGATTGGGCAGGTGAGTTGGGCTGGGAGTGGGGGATGAGGCTGAGGGCTGGGCAGGGGGGCCTTGCCTGGTCACATGCGCCACCTGCCTGGCCCAGGTCCATGAAGAGTTTAAGCAGAACATAGAAAATGTCAGCGTGGAGATGCTGCTCAGGAAGTTTGCAGAGAGCAAAGGCACAGGCCGGGAGAAGCCAGGTGAGTCTGGGGCTCAAAAGGCAGGAGATTGAACCTCCCTGGGTCTCGGTTTTCTCATCAGAAAAATGGGCTCATGATAAGTCCAACTCCACAGCCCACTGAAGAAGAGGATTCAATGCCTGGTCTTATGTTTACATCTTTTAGAACCAGATCCCAGAGGGGGCCTTTAGTGCCAGCCTCAGCTGTTCCGACTTTACCCGGGGGGCCCAAGGGGACTTCTGAACCATTATTGAGCAAAAGGCCAGTTTGAGAAAATGTCCAGATACAGGGTCAGGGAAGAGCTGAGAACAATGGTTTTGGAATCAGACTTGGATTCAAGTCTTTTCTTCCATTCTCTATGACCTTGGACAGGTGTCTTGACCTCTCTGAACCTCAGTTTCCTCCTTTGTAAAGTGAGTATTTTAGTCTCCATCTAATGTTGTTGTGAACTTTCAGTAATTTGATGCAGGTAAAAGGCAAAGTATGTGCCTGGCACATAGTAGGCACTCAATAAGTACTGGCACACAGTAGGCACTCAGTAAGTACTAGCACACAGACTATGTCCCCAAGTTAAATCTGTTGCCAAGGTTTATCCTTTCTCCTTTTCTCTCCCTTTCCCTCTTTCTCAGTCATGGCTCAGCCCACCCACCCTTCCCTGTGTGGGCCACACCCCTGCTCCCACCCTTGTCTTACAATGGCTCAGAACTGTCATGTCCTGTCCTTGTTCACACACCTTCCGTGGTTCCCCATAGCCCTTGGGAGAGAGTCCTAGGTCCTCAGTTTGCACTTGAGACCCAGCTCACTGCACACACTTATCATCCATTGCCCAACCCACCCAAGTTTCAGCCAGAGGTACTAGAAATACTTAGAAGTTACTGGCCTCAGTGATTGGTTTGGGGAAGAGCCAATGAAAATCTGCCTTGAGACTTTTGCTGGAGATACTGAAAAAAAGACGTTTTCATTCACTGAATCAATGAGTTGGTGGGATGTGGCTCAGGTGTCACTCCCTCCAGATCATCCAGCTGGAATTGGAACCAGCTTAGCCCATTGTGCTCATGATGATTACTCAGGCTGGTTCAACATCTTGGCTCTTGTTCTTGAACCTAACTGGCCTTGAGCTTAGGTCCGTGTGCCATGTGTGGCCACGGGTGTATTACTACCCTTCGCAGACCTCAGTCTCTCCCTCTGGTTGTCTTTCTCAATATCCTCTGCCCAGGGCCCTTGGACTTCGAGACATACAGCGCAGCTGCCCTGCAGGAAGGCAAGTACGTCTGGGCCTGGATGCCCAGGCTGGACAGACTGTGGGGATAAGGGAGGTGGATCTGCAGTGGAGAAGAGGCACCTCCCAGGCTCAGCTGACCCTCCCTGTCTGATTCACAGCAATGAAACGTTTGCGCGGAGGCAAAGCTTTTCGCCTTCCAGGACTGAGCCGGCGAGAGCGAGAGCCACGTGGAGCTGGGTGAGGAAGTGCTCTAGCCCTAGCCCTGGTCCAGACTAGCCGAGGATCCTCTCTCCTGCCCAGAAGTCTCCTGCTTAGCCCAGAAGTACCACTGCCCCAGGCTGGCTCAAATTACTGCTGTCCGGGCTAATTTGGAATTCTTCCTTTAGCTAAGGCTAGGTCAGGAGCTATCTGTTGAGGTTGTTTCAGAATTATACTTGGGTAGGCTAGCCCAGACTTCTTCCCTTTGCTGGGGCTAGCTCTGCTATTTCTCCACCAGCAATTATTAATGGGCCAACAAAACCCAAGAGTCTCCTGCCCAAAAAACTCACTGCCATCAAGTTGATTCTGATTTCTTTGGGTTTCTTTCCAAGGCTGTAAGTCTTTATGGGTGCAGACTGCCCAATCTTTCTTCCGTGGAGTTGCTGGTGCATTCGAACCACTGACCTTTTGGTTAGCAGCCAAATGTCTTAACCACTATACCACCAGAGTTTCTTTTCTCCCTGCCCAAACTAGTACCAAATTTTTCCCTATGCCTGTGTTTTCCCAGCCTAGCTCAGAAGTCCCTTGCCTATACTAGCCCAGAATTGCCCCTGACCAACCTAGCCTAGGGAGCTCTGGTGGCGTAGTGCCTAAGGCATTTGATTGCTAACCAGAGGGCTGGCAGTTCAAACCTACCAGCCACTCCTCAGAAGGAAGTTTGGGCAATCTACTTCTGTAGTGATACCGCCTCGGAAACCCAAGGAGGGGTCACTGTGGGGTGGATCTGACTCGATGGCAGTGGGTTTCAGTGGGGTTAGCCTAGCCTGGGATTCCTCCCTTTGCCAAGGCTAGCCTGCACATTCCCTGCCTTCTCAGGCCAGCATTCCAGGATACCCCCTGCTTGAGCCAGTCCCAGATTCAGCCATCCTAGTGAGTCCTAGAATCCCATCTCCTCCAGAACTAGCTTGGGATAATATTGCGGCCCTGGGGCCTCCCCCAGGTGCTGTGTCCGGTGTTGTTGGGGGTTGGGGGAAGGATGAGGTGGACGGAACTAACACTCATATCTCTTTCTCCATCCCCAGAGACTCCGGGGAGCCCGACTCAGGGGTGAGTGCCATGGGAGGGGGCTGTGAGTGGAAGGCATCTGATCTCACCCTTGGGCCCCCACCCCTGGTGCCCACGTTGGAGGCCAGGTGCCTCAGCGCGTGGGGCTAAAGGTGGCAGAGCTTAGGGGCCGGGTTCAAATCTTGCCGTGGCTGCAGACCTGTGGACCATGTGGGAGAGATTGACGGTTCAATCTAGCCTCAGTTTACCCATTGGTCCCACCCCTTTAGGATGGGCAGAGGCACATTCTGTTCCCCAGGAACCTGCGCACACACTAGGGGACTATTGCCTTTGGAATTGTTTTTAAGTCTGAATCAGGGCCTGGAAGTGGGAGAATGGCAGGGGGAGATGGACGGGATGGGATGAGGGAAGGGCTGACCCACTTGTCCTCCCTCCAGACATGTCCAGAGGTGGATGAAGAAGGCTTCACCGTCAGGCCAGATGTGACCCAGAACAATATCCTTCGCTCGCCCCCTGGTGGCGATTATTGGCACTGCAAGGACAAAACTGTCATGCACATGCACGACCCTCTTTGTGTAAGCCCTGGGATGGGCCCTGCTGCAGCCCTCAGTGTTGAGGAGGCAGATCCAGATGCAGACACTTGCCCTGTGGGGGAAAGCTTTTGATAAGAGGGAGCGAAGGAAGCTAGGTTATCCCGGAAGGGAAACCAGGAGGACTTCTTGGAGGAGGGGGCATCGGAGTTGGGATTTAGCAGCTGTATAGATGTTCACCAGTTAAGGGCAGGCATGACTTATGTAAAGGCTTGGATTGTTGTTGTTAGGTGCTGTCGAGTTGATTCCAACTCATAGCCACCCCATGTGCAGCAGAACAGAGCACTGCCTCGTCCTGTGCCAGCCTCATAATTGTTGCCATGTCCAAGCCCCTTGTTGCAGCCACTGTGCCAATCCATCTTGTTGAGGGTCTTACTCTTTTCCACTGACCTTCTGCCTATCTAAGTCTTGGACAGGTGCCAAAACGTGGTGTCAGGATCAAGGGTGGCAAGTGGTGAGAGAGGGAATTGGGCAGGTCCTTGGAGGGAGCATGCTTGGACCTGAGGGCTGACCAGAGAGAGGGCCTGTGTCGGGATCTGCTTGGTGCCTTGACTGCAGTGCACGCACAGCGGAGCCCTCCCGCTTCTCGTCCAGCGACTCAGACTTTGATGACGAGGAGCCCCGAAAGTTCTACGTGCACATCAAGCCTGCCCCTGCCCGGGCCCAGGCCTGCAGCGCTGAGGCAGCCACGGCACAGCTCAGGGCCACCGCGGGCAGCCTCATCCTTCCTCCTGGCCCAGGGGTGAGGTGTGGGAAGGGTGTTTCAGGCAGGGCTGCGGGGCCGGCTGGATGCAGCCATGCCTCATGCCGCCACCTTTGTCCACAGGGCACCATGAAACGCCACTCTCCACGTGAGTAATCTATTAAGGACCCTCTGTTTAGAGAGGAAAAAAAAAACAAAAACTGGAGTGTGGGTCTAGGTTCAGATTCCAGCTCCACTATATGGCTTGGGGGAGCTCTGGTAGCATAGTGCCTAAGGCACTTGACTGCTAACCAGAAGGCTGGCGGTTCAAACCCACCAGCCACTCCTCGGGAGGAGGGTTGG